CCTACTCATAAGCACTGAAGACACAGATCCAGCATGCAGAGCCGTGCGGGGTCCCACTTAGCCTACACTCCGCATCCCCTGCAGGGGACCCGTCCCCCAGAATCTAGACCCAGTCCTGGAAGCCAGCGGCACGTCATGGTGCATCAATCCCGCTACCTTCATCTGTTCTCAAACCTCCACGAGACCTAATTTAAGTTAAAACAATCTCATTTGAATGAAAAGGGAGGTTCTTCCTTTTTAGAGGGTTCAGCTTGGGGAAGAATGTTAAGAAAACATAAATATTTAATGAGTATTTTTTACCAAGTGCTATATATACTTTCATACCACAATCAAATTCTAAGAAGATCTTGGTATTACCAGCATACAGTTGAGGAAATTGGGTAGTTTTAAATTTTGCTAAGGAAAAATGATTAGGGAGCAAACTGTAGAATTGAACCCTACATGTATCTGGCTTGCAAGTGTTTACACTGAAGACTGCAATATCATATTATTGGCCCCAAATCATGACATGTTTTCCCACCAACTACCTAAGAGGAGAATGATTTGCTCATGGTTTGAAGAGATAAACTACTAACATTATACATCAGCTTCTGAAACGAAACAAGAGCTTTTAAATTATTCACCTCAATTTTCTCCAGCAGCAATAATATAAAGAACTAGGACAAAAATGTTTTTTAAAGAGCAAAGAGCTGCCTTGTATCCAGAAAAGCTTACCAATTACAGTGTAGCTGAAGTGCTCTTTGAAGTACTGTGCAGTCCTAAAGGGGGAAAAAGGCCCTGCCTGCTTCTAAGCAAAGGAGTCCCGGGCTTTTCCAGCTGTGTAAGAACTCTCCGCTCATTAGGAAAGCTGAGAGAAAGAACCTAATGATGTGCTTATTTTGCACGGGTGGAGTGTAGGGGGCCTTCACAGCACACAATGGTAGTGCTGTCCTAAGAGGGTCTGTGTAACAGCTGCCGACAGGGAGATTTTACGGAACACCTTCTCTGGCCAGCTTGATGCTATTGTACAAAATGGGAATGGCCAGCAGGTTCACCGTGACACAGAAGAACGGGCACGCAGGAGAATGGAGTGCTGAAGCTGATTTCTGGGTGAAATTACTGGGATAATTTCTGATATAGACATAATACAGTACTTTTGAGCTACTCCACAGCATCAAACAAGGAACACTGATAAAATGTGAGAAGTGAAATCACCTACAATAACCTGCCAGACTGTATCAGGGCTTTCTGGTTCGGTGTCAGCGCCTCCAGAGGTCCAGGGTTCTTATTGTTTGGGATAAAAACACTCATCCAGCACGGCTGCTGCGCTGGGCCCCTCTCAGTTACTATGATGAAGTACTCGACAGAGAAGCTAGGTACACAAACAAGGTTTCTTTAGCTCTGGCAAGACCAGCGGGTTCTCCGCTCCGGGCTCTGGTGAGCACGACCCCTCATGCAGAGGTGTGTGTCGGAGAGAGAAGGCCCATCCAAAAACAGAAAGCAGAGAGAGACCAAGGTGAAGAGACTGGGTCCCCGGTCCTCTGGAGGGCACACCTTCAGTGACCCAAGTGCCTCTCACAAGATCCTGTCTCGCCCCAGCGACCTACTGCATCCCCAGAGTGCTGCCTGGGGATGCAGCCTTACACGTGGGCTCTAGGTACACATCCAGACCACAGTGCTAGCCTTGTGACCTGCCTCATCTTCTGCAATTAAAAAAGAAAGGTCCCCACACACAAGTGCAATCCCAGTGCTCTCGGAGGCTGAGGCAAGAGAGTCTCAAGTGTGAGCCTAGCCTGGGCTTACGACTCTGTCTCTAAAGAAAAATAGGGCTGAAGGTACTACTTCAATCGAAGGCCTGCGCTCAATTCCCCACACAAAACAGTTACTAATTTGTTCAGTCACAATTTGTCCAAAGACTAACAAGAGATGTAACAGAAACTCAAACGGAATCACAGGCCTAGAATCCAATTTTCAAACCCAGTCCAGTGTTCGCCCTTACATTCCATTTTTGCTAGACTTCACTTTCTGTCATTTATCTTTCTGTTACCACAACACATTAAGTTTTTAAAAAATGTGCCTCAAGTGTCATATATCGCCCTCCAAATTTTGAAAGCAGTCAACTGTTTTTCATTCTCAAATTCCAAGAGAGGGCTCTGAGCCTTCAGGTGTCTCACGTTTCATATACAACCTACTCACGAGAACGCCACACTGACGCGGAAGCTTCAAAACTAAGCAGCTCATTGGGGCCGGGGAGATGGCTCAGTGGAATAATCGCCTCCCTGGCAAGCACAAGGGCCTGAGTTTAATCCCCAGTTCCACCAAAAGAGAGAGAGAGAGAGAGAGAGAGAGAGAGAGAATGAATTAAATAAGATTTAAACTAAGATGCCCCAGGGGTAGAGGGGTATAATTTTTTTTAAGCAAACAGGAAGATCACTAAATTGAGTTAATGTAAGCGCTCCAGGATCTTTCATTTACCTCCCACTTAAGATCTGACTACATGCTGAGCAAATGATATACTTTCTGTTGGTTTTAAAATTTGAAGTGAATATAAATTGGAACACAGAAATTCCATTTACCTAAGTAAAAAGGCAGCTGAAAGCTGGGGTGATAGCTCAGTAGAATAAGTGCTTGTCTGGCAAGCGCAAGGGCCTGAGTTCAATCCCCGGTTCTACCAAAAAACAAAACAAACAAAAAACCAAATGTTTAGGGGGCTGGGGAGATGGCTCAGCGGAATAAGCGCTTCCCTGGCAAGCACAAGGGCCTGAGTTCAATCTCCGGTTCTGCCAAAAAAAAAAAAAAAAAAAAAAAAAAGGCAGCTGAAGTAGGAATTAAATTTTATGCAAAATATTATTTCTTGTGGCCAGGGAAATGGCTCAGTAGAATAAGTGCTTCCCTGGTAAGCGCAAGGGTCTGAGTTCAATTCCTGATTCCACCAAAAAACAACAAGCAAAACAACCAAAAAAAACTTCAAAATATTATTTATTGTATAGAAATACTTTTCTTGTATGTATTTGCACATTGTTTAAAGGCTGAAGCTTCACTGACATTTATGAATGTCTGAGAACTCGCCAGAAGCATCATTAACAAAGGTGAAACCTGAACTACGGATATTTGGTAAGAAGGAATTCTATCTCCTGTCTCTCCCTCTCCAAACTGAAATTCCTTACTCTTATACATGCATGTGTATGCCTCACATGTATACCACATATGCCATACAGTATAGACACTATTTCCTGTTTTTAAAATTGTTCTTTCTGACAGAGTTTAAATTATTATTTGGCTTGGTGACACAGTTCAGAGGTAAAGCTCTTGCCTAGCGTATGTGGGGCGCTGGGCTCAATCTCTGGCGCACCACACACACACGCCTTATTACTCATTCCATAAGCTTTAGGTTTCAGAATAAGGCTACCACTAATTAAGAAATTAAGATGCCATATAAATCTTTCCTTCCTTATTAAAGCAATCACAAAGGAGCTTTCAAACAAACCAATAGGAATCTGGGTTATAAAATGAATCACTTGTTTCTTTTTCCTTAGTGTGGAAAGTGCCGTTCTTCCCTGGCCCCCAAACAATGAACCTGAGGTCCCGCCAGCTCAGCCCCCACAGCAGCGCAGAGGACAGGTGTGTGCCCCTCTCTGGGCTCCCAAGCGCTGGCTCTAACACAGGGAAGGACCTTCCCAAGGAGCCTGACAGTGCACACAGCATCTGAAGACAGGGCAGCAATGCCCTGGACCTTCGCACTGTCTCCTCACGTAGACAGGGGCCTGTGTGCAAGTAGCTCCTGGTAACTCTTGACTGAACATTTAATTTGTTTCTATTGGTTTTTTGATATAAATTTATACAGTGTAAATGCAGAGATGCATCAAAGGATTTTATGTATGAACTGAAAGCAAACATAAGGTCAGTGGCATTACAGAGCATCCAAAAGTTAAATATACCAACCTTAACATACTTTGCTTGGAGGGACTCCTTAAGCCTTTGCAGGAAAACAAGAAATACCCTTAAATGCTCAAATGTAGATAGTCTACAATCTTTACTAAGCAAGGTAAAATTTCTTGTTTCGTTAGAAAAGGCCTTCTCAGCTGCTGGCTCCCTGCCACCACCCTCACTGGCCCCTGCTCCTAGCCGGAGGACACCTCCCACCCAAACAGAAACACTTCCCACTAGTTTTCGATTTGAGACTGCCTGAAAGCCTGTAACTCCCAAGCATGGCCTCTTACAGGCCCACACTGCCGTGCTTACGCCAGGGAGCACGCAGGGTGCGGCGGTGCACACCTGTGATTCTCCAGGATCTAAAGTTTGAGCCCAGCGTGTGCAACGTAGCAAGACTGTCTCAAAATAAAAATAAAACACAGTCGGCAATGTAGCTCTGTGGAAGGCCTTGGGCTCAATCTCCAGTAAGGAAGCAGGGTACAGGGGTCACCTCCTTGAGGGCAGGAAACATGTGTAAAAGGATTTTTGCTCCTCCCAAAGTGCCTTGGACAACTCTGGTTTTGTCTTTCGAAATAATGGTTTATTCCTGGCATATATCTGAATAAACTCTCTGAATATTAATTACTCTCTCAAATTCTACTTTGTTATCCTAAACAGTATTTTTTTTCCCTGTAAAAAGCAGAAGCTAGTTTAGAAGCGCTAAAGAATCTCAAGCTCTGCACCAACCAACGCTATTTAGAAAGCAAAGCATCAGTTAAAATATTGAACTCTAAACATAAATGTCAATAAAATGAAAGTACCACTCAGTGGTTCTATTTTCATGACAAAAACTCAAGAGGAAGGAAAATGGGGGCACACACCACACACACCCACACCACCACACACACACACACTGTCAAGTAGTCAGTCTCACTATGTCCAAGGGACCAATAAAGGTCTTTTTTCCTAAGAAAACACTTCTGTTTTTCTTTTTTACGGAACCGGGGATTGAACTCAGACCGTTTAGCGCTTGCCAGGGAAGCGCTTATTCTACTGAGCCATCTCCCTGGCCCCAAGAAAACACTTACTCTACAACACAATACGATTACCTCATCGTGGGAACCATCACCGCATCGCTGTGGGCTAATAAGCACAGAGCCAGGCACGGGGTCCACCACCGCGTGCTCCAGCACTCGCGACTGCTCCACCGCGCTCTGACACCAGACGGCTACTGCTGACCACACACAACGTGAGGTGACGGTGTCCTCCAGCTCAAATGATGAGAATCATCTTCCAGCAGATAAAAGGGAACTCTAATCACTCAGAAAGCAGCCTACTTTACCCAAGGGTTTCTACAGGAAATAGAAATACATATCAGAAGTGAGAAATGCTCAGGCGTATGTGAAATACTGAAAAAGTCTGCAGCTAGAGGACAGGGCATTCCAGGGCACGCTGCAAGTGCTCTGTACTACTGCACGAGCTCGCCTGACCGCAATTCTGAAGAAAAGGATGGACAAAAACTAGGGCATCCTATAAATAAATAAATCCCTTGGCTGTTTAGAAAAATCTGGCAAAAATTATGTATTTTGTCTCCAGAAGTCTAAAGCAAGCTGTGTGGTGCCACACGCCTGTAATCCCTGCATGTGGGAGGCTGAGGCAGGAGGAGTGCTGGGAGGCTGAGGCCGGCCTGCGCTACCTGGTAAGACCCTGTCTCAAAAAAACCCCCACAAGCTGGAGAGATAGCGTAGCGGTTTACGCATTAAGCTCTACAGGTTCGAGTCCCAGGTCTGCCTTGGG